AGGAAATGGAGAAGGAAATACAAACAAAACGCCCCTCTTAGTGGCCTGGACAGCTGGATCCAGTGATTTTATTCACTAAGTTGGTAATAAAATTCAATACTTAATTCATCAACTCTCTTAACATTAGTAATCTCTTCAATTGCCTAAACTTCTGATAATTAGAACCAATCCCTCAGTGACACTTGGCAAAAAAAAAAAAAAAAAAAAAAAAAAGGCTTAATCTTCATTCTCTGTTTTTGATTTATTGTTTTGTCTTTGCTCTTTATAGTCACAAACTGCATTTTTATTTTATACATTTTTTGACACAGTCATTTTTCTGTATATCATTTGTCTTTTATTCCCTTTCTGTCAGATCACCTGAAGGATGGGATTTATAAATGAACAATAATTTTGTTTTTAATTTTATGAGAATAAGGGAAAATCAGTAATTCAACGCTTAAAAAATAAAGTTTATTAAGTTTTATTTAAAAATAAGTCAGTTAAGGGGTGCCTGGGTGGCTCAGTCGGTTAAGCATCTGACTTCAGCTCAGGTCATAATCTCACAGTCCGTGAGTTCCAGACCCCCGTTAGGCTCTGTGCTGACATCTCAGAGCCTGGAGCCTGTTTCAGACTCTGCGTCTCCCTCTCTGCCCCTCCCCTGCTCATGCTCTGTCTCTCAAAAAAAAAATTAAAAAAATTAAAAATAAATCAGTTAATTATGCTATAGAATAGTGTTTATTTTCATTAAAATGTTACAATTAATCTCTAAAAGAATAGAGCACATTATGAAAAACATGCATTAGATTATTCCTTTCACTATTGTGGGGTAAAACTATTCTGCATATTTAGATAATGAGAATATGGCAAGATATTTTAAAGGGATTATAGATGGGTAATAGACACCTAATGGGTCCCTTTTTCTTTCCTTGACTTTTTTTTTTTTTTTTAATTTTTTTTTTTCAACATTTATTTATTTTTGGGACAGAGAGAGACAGAGCATGAACGGGGGAGGGGCAGAGAGAGAGGGAGACACAGAATGGGAAGCAGGCTCCAGGCTCTGAGCCATCAGCCCAGAGCCCGACGCGGGGCTCGAACTCACGGACCGCGAGATCGTGACCTGGCTGAAGTCGGACGCTTAACCGACTGCGCCACCCAGGCGCCCCCTTTCCTTGACTTTTTAAAAATAAATTGACACATATCATTTTTGTAACAAATTATGTTTATAATTAAACACAAAGAATATAACCCTTGTGAAAATGAGCACAAATACCTCAGATGGCCCTTCTTCTGTTAAAGCACCTTGATTTTGGAATGGTGCTTCAATTGTCAGGCAGCTTGTTAATGCCTCTGTGGGTGAAGAAACTGGGTCTTATTCATCACAATGAAAATAGTGCTTTGTCTAAAAAAGAGTCTCAGTAAAAATGTGCTGGATAAGTAGAAAATTTTTGCAGTTAAATTAGGAATATCATGAATAAAAAGTAATAAATGCTACTTGTGGACATGTCAGATAAGTTAAATACCAGATGCTGAATGCAGATTTTTTTTTCACGTTAGCTCATTTATCCATCACATTGTAAATAACAGTATCAACCTAATTTATGGTACTTTCTTGATATCACACAGATCACACTTGGGAGAGATATAATTTGGTTATATTTGGAAAAAGCTCTGTTCATATTTTGAACCAACTCTAGCTGGCCACCATGAGACTCTAGTTTAAAATTTTATTATCTATTCACATAAGTACAATTTCTAACTGCATGACAATTTGTGTTTCATAAATTTTTATATTACTTACAACTCTATGCCCTATCTTTGAATATCAATTTCTTCCTTAATGACTGTGATTTCTGTGGTAGTGCCTATATTTTTGTGCTTACATATGTAGCACAAAAACAGACAAAAAGATTAAATGATAAATCATGATTATATTATAGTGAAATGATAAATAATTATTGTTATAATTTTCTTAGAAGAATGTTTTATTGTCTGGATTATAAAATAAAATCACCATTTTGATTCTGAATGCATGATGTACCCACATATTGATAGTAGACTTTAAAATAAATTACTTTGGGGGTTATTGGGTGGCTCAGTCAGTTGAGCATCTGACTCTTGATTTCAGTTCAGTTCATGATCTCACAGTTCGTGCATTTGAGCCCCGCACTGAGCCCTATGTCAGGCTCTGTACCATTAGTGTGGAGACTGCTTGGGATTTTCTCTCACCCTTCCTCTCTGCCCCTCTGCTGCTTGCACATGCTTTCTCTCTCTCTCTTTAAAAATAAATAAGTAAAATTAAAAAAAAATTTAAAAAAACTTTTTTTTTCCTAGTAAATGCAAAACTTTTGCAAAGGAAAAAAAAAACTCTATTGATAACTGGATGCTAAATATTCTTAAGTCACATATCAATTTCAGGTACATATTGAACACATATTAAACATTATATCCGGCAAAGCTCATATCTCTAAGAATTCTGTTTTGTTTTTTGTTTTTTTTTTTAACGTGATACATTTCTTTTTGGAATATATTGACCACACTATAACCTGGTAATGTTCACATCAATATCACATCACATAATTATCATTTATTTTTTGTGGTGAGGATATTTAAAATCTAGTCTCTTAGCAACTTTGAAACAGCTCTTTGAAACCAAAATAAAATAAAATAAAATAATTAAATTAAATTAAATTAAATTGTGCTTATTTTTTTATTTTTTTTATTGACATATAATTGACAAATTACATTGTGTAAGTTTAAGGTATACAACGTGTTGATTCCATACATTTACATATTGCAATATAATTATCACCAAGGCATTAACTAACAACTCCATAATGTTGCATAATTATGATTTATTTACTGAGTAAGAAAAATCAAGATCTATCTTCTTAACAACTTTGATTTTTCTAACACTGTGTATTTGACAATAATTATTATGCTGTACAACAGATCTCAAAAATTTATTCATTTCCAGTTTTAAGTTTATACCCTTGGGCAAAATCTCTTAAATTCCCTCTACCTCCAGCCTCTGGTAATCATTATTCTATTCTCTGTTTCTATGACTTCAGGTTTTTTTTTAATTTCATATATAAGTGATATCGCACAGTATTTTTCTTTCTCTTTCTGACTTACTTAATTTAGCATAATGCCATTGCAATTCACTTTCATTCATGTGGTTACAACTGGCATTTACTTCTTTTCCGTCGATAAATAACGAACAGTGACAATAATAATAATAATAATATACATAGTGATGTTGACCATATTTTTATGTACCTGTTGTTCTTTTGGCTATTTGTATGTCTTCTGTGGGGAAATGTCTACTCATTCCCTTTGTCCATTTTTTAAAACCAGATTGTTTGCTTTTTGCTATTGAGTCGTATATGTTTTTATATGGTTTCGACATTAACTCTTTCCTCATGATTTGCAAATATTGTCTCACTTTCTGATTGCTGCCTTTTCATTTTGTTGATTTTTCTCACAGTTCTGGAAGCTGGTAAATCCAAGTACAGGGCACCGGCAAATCTGGTGTCTGAGAGTCCACTTCCTTGTTTGCAGATGGCCATGTTCTCACTGTTCTCTCACAAGGCAGAAGATGGGAGCAAGAACAAGTGTTCATGGCTCTTCTTATGAGGGCACTAATCCTATTCATGAGGGCTCCACTGTAAAGACCTAATTACTTTCCAAAACCCCAACTTTCTAATATTATTACACTGGGTTTAAAAGCATATGAATTTTGTAGAAATAAATTCCATCCATAAACATGACATTACAGGCACGGTAGCCAAAAATCTTGTTGTTGACATATTTTTAAAAAATAAAACCTAGCAAACAGGTTACAGAATTTTCTACTTTTTAAATTGCCAGGAAATACCTAAATACTATAACCTTATGGCACTTTACCATGAAAAAGACATGTGGCAGCATATATTGATTGCCCCTACCTCCACCAGCATGCCCAACAACTCATGCAAAGGAAGATAATAACATAAATAGTGGTGAAAGAAAGTAGAAAGAGAGTAAATGAACAGAAAATAAATAGGGTTAAAAGCCAAAGAAAGGAAGGGCATGGAGCCCTGTACCATTGGTGAAGCTGGAATCTTGTAGTTACTCTGATGTGTCAGGACAGAGAGTTGTAATACCATTTGTGGGTGGTTGTATCTCATTGTCCTTCTGACATCTGTGCATATGTGTGTATGGGAGTATTTTTCTGTGTGTGTGTATGTGTGTGTGTGTTTATATATTTTATATGTTACTGCACCTGTGGATTAAACTGGGTACAGTTTTCTATCCCATAAAAATCACACATAAAAAATGAAAAAATTCATAGTATACTGAAATTCTTTCTTAATATGTTACATTTTCAAAACAAACATTATAGCTGAACTAACTGCATTTAGTTTTTAATTCTTAAGGTGCGGAGAAAAAAATTGTATCCAAACTCACTGGCACTTTCAATGCTAGTTTCTTAAATTTATACTTTTTTTTTGTTCTTTTGATGAGGGCAGTCTGTCCATAGGCTTAATACAAACACCTGGGAGAGGCTATTTCTTGTCAAAATTTTGCATTATGATCCTTTGAATTACGATAAAGCAAAGGCAGCCAAAGACTCTAAATACCTATTTTCCAAATATATAACTTGAATTCAATCTCTCTCTTTCTCTCTTTCTCTCTTTCTCTTTCTTCTTCCCAAGCAATTTACATGTGCAAAGATTAGAAAGAGAGTCTAGTTGGGGCACCTGGGTGGCTTAGTCCGCTAAGCATCCAACTTTGGCTCAGGTCATGATCTCATGGTTCATGAGTCCTAGCTCCACATTGGGCCCTGTGCTGACAGCTCAGAGCTCAGAGCCTGAAGCCTACTTCTGATTCTGTGTCTCCCCCTCTCTCTATTCTCCTTCCCCACTCATGCTCTGTCTCTCTCTCTCTCAAAAATAAATAAACATTAAAAAAATTAGAAAGAGAGTCTAGTTAATGAGTCCTGACCAAATTCTCACAAGACTTGTCACTGTTTTGCATTTCAGGAAAGCTTCATGAAGAACTTGGTAAGTAATATTTCTCTGTGAGGATAGACATGTAAATATATTTCAAAACAAACTCTTACTCTATCTCATTCTTTCAGAAAGGATAAAATTCTTGGGAGAAGAAGGTGAGTAATGAAAATGACCATCTGTAGCCCTGACTCATGCACTTGCCTTTTGACCACTCATCCTTTTCTTGTTTTATTCATTGGTAAACCTTGGTTACAAAACTATACTCTTTTTCTTTTATTTTCTTTTTTTTTTTAATTTTAGGGTTGAAATATGCTCGACGCTATGCAGGTAACTAAAGATTGAAGTATTTGGATATTGGTTCTTATTTTTAGCCAGTACACTGGGCCACCAGACAAGGGGTCTCACAAACTCACACCAAACATATGCGCACGCACACACACACACACATCCCTTTTTTTTCTCCAAAATTTCCACTTTGTTATGCTTATTATTGAGTATGTTATAGCTATAGCTCCTTATATATCACAAATGGTCCTGCTTCTGAGGTTCAGTGATGGATGGAAGCAGAACATTAGAGCCCAAAATGATATCATCTAACATGCTTTTCAGAACCAGAAATTCATTGGGGAATGTCTCTAGGGTGTAGCTGACAGGGAATGGGGTAAGGGCAGGCTGCCTTCTTACTATGTTAGGATGGAGGCTACTGACACAATGCCACTAATTTCCAAGGAATCAAAATTTGTGGCCCTTCATTTAATGTGTCAAATTGAAAAAACCAGAAGTTTTTGACATCTAACAAATTGTCAAATTTATGACCTCTGTTTAATATTAGGAACAACAACAATTTGTGTTATATTTTCTAACTTTGTATTAATGATTTCAAAGTATTTTCATTTGATTCCCACAAATACACTGTGAGGAAAAAATGCCAGGTATTAATATACTGAGATATATATATATATATATATATATATATATATATATATATATATATATAATGAATATTATTAGGAGATTTCTCCAGTTTATATGACTAATTTACATAATATTTACTTTCATGAGACAACTTGAGAGGCACTTTTACCAATTGAATAAAGTATAGTCTAGATATCAGCTATTGCTTTGGAAAAATACCCATGAGCAACTAAGCTGCAATGGCTTTAAGTGCCTACAATCTTATATTTACAGTGCTAAGACTAAGAGTCTTTATTTATTTTTAATATTGCATTAATACTAATGGAATTTTCTTTGTGGTTACACTAATACAAGTAGAATTTAGTTTTGCTTATAACTATGATCACTTAATTAATAGGAGAAATACATACAGTGTACATTCACAGAATCCTGTGTAATTAGGTAAATATCTGAATCAAGTTTAGCTTTGCTTTGTGTGTTTATATACTTAGCATACAACACTTCAAAAATTATTTTTGTATCCATGTATCTGAATTTTGCACCTATATGAAAGCAGTTTTAGGAAAATTAATTGAGTAACTCTAGATAAATTTCATTTGATGATTTATAACAATTTTAAACTGTCAAAACATTGAGAATCAATGTAAATATTTATAATTGTCTTCAGTTAATTCACAAATTGAATCAGGTAAGTCTGGACTTGAAGCCAAACATTGATGGATATTAGTAATCATTGTTGGACAAACTTCTCCAAGTATTTGTTGTCTCAATTACAAAATGAAAATATTTCTTCATTTCATATTTTGTTTTGAAAATTGAATATTTATAAATGTGCTTCATGTACCAGTAAGCAGAAAAAGTTCCTAGATAAAGGAAGGACTCTTGTATATTGCATTAATTACTGTTGAATATAATTGATCATAGCCAAGACTGACAACATGTTCTTCTATAGAAAATGTTACCCTGGATCCAGACACAGCTAACCCATATCTCCAAATTACTGATGACAACAAAAGTGTGAAAGGAGGTGATACCTTTCAGGAACTACCCAAAAGAAGACAGCGGTTTGATAACCTGGTCTGTGTATTAGGTCAGCAAATTTTTTCCAAAGGTAAACACTACTGGGAAGTGAGTGTGAAAAATAAAATAAAATGGACTTTAGGCATTTGTAAGGATTCTGTCTGCAGACGGGGAGAAATCATGGTGTCCTCTGAGACTGGGTTCTGGACAATAGGCTTGAATAGAAACAATGACTATCAAGCTCTTTTAAACCCACAGAAAACACTCCACCTCGAGGAATCTCCTGAGACTATTGGTATCTTCCTGGACTATGAGGCTGGAAGAGTGTCGTTTTATAATGTGACCAATCTTTCTCACATCTACACCTATAGAAACTGCTTCACAGGTTCTCTGAGGCCATACTTTTATCCTGGCCCCCTCTACAATGGTCAAAATGAACACCCTCTCACCATCCTGCCCTTAGGTCATATTAGAAAAGCCATAGGAAGAAGACGTTCTATGTGACTGAGCAAAAATTGCCCTATTTTGAATCTGCTGAAACTAGGGATTTTTATGAAGTTTGTAAATATTCTAATATATATATATATATGTATATATATATTATATAATTATATATG